AGAAATCGCTGCCCGGAATCATCGACGTCACCGTGGAACCGTCCAAGAAGGACTCAAAACAAGAGTCACGGCCGGAAATGCTCGAGGTTATTGGAGAGCCATCCAAGAAGAAGGCCTAGAAGAAAGAGAAATTAGTTTTAAAGAAAAAGAAATCGCGGCTTACCCATTCTTCAGCACCATCCACAATTTCCGGCCGCGATTTCTTTTTCTTTAAAACTAATTTCTCTTTCTTCGAGGCCTTCTTCTTGGATGGCTCTCCAATAACCTCGAGCATTTCCGGCCGTGACTCTTGTTTTGAGTCCTTCTTGGACGGTTCCACGGTGACATTGACGATTCCGAGCAGCGATTTCTCTGCCATCTACTCTCCAGCACCATTGACGATTTCCTGCCGCGATTTCTTTTTCTTTGAAGCCTTCTTCTTGGTCAGCTCACCAGCACCGCCGCAGATTTCTTGCTGCGATTTCTTTTTCTTTGAAGTCTTCTCCTCAGTCGACTCTCCCGCACCGTCAATGATCTCCGGCCGCTTCGCCTTGATCTTCTTACTCGGCTCTCCAGCACAGTCTACGATTTCCGGTAGTAATTTCTCTTTCTTTGAGGCCTTCTTCTTGGACAGCTCTCCAGTAACGTCTACGAATCCCGCCTGGTTCTTCTTACCCGATTCTTCAGCACCATCCACAATTTCCAGCCGCCATTTCTTTTTCTTTAAAACTAATTTCTCTTTCTTCGAGGCCGCCTTCTTGGATGGCTCTCCAATAACCTCGAGCATTTCCGGCCGCTACTCTTGTTTTGAGTCCTTCTTGGACGGTTCCACGGTGGCCTCAAAGAAAGAGAAATTACTACCTGAAATTGTATACGGTGCTGGAGAGCCGAGTAAGAAGACCAAGGCAAAATTGCTAACCGAAATCGTGGACAGTGCTAGAGAGAAGATTAACAAGAAGAAGGCTCCGAAGCAAGTGAAATCTCAAGAGGTACAGCTGCAGACGGCACGCAATGGAATTCCAGATGAGGGGGCTCAGAAGAAGGAGAAGAAGAAAGAGTAGTGGAAGGCTTAGGAACCCTGGTGCCTGTGCCATGCATCACAAGGCAAAATGCTTATCAAAATGTCCCTTTCGCTCATTTTTGTGTTCGGCAAATCCTGCGAATGAGGAAGCGTGCAAAGATTTGTCCTTCCTGTTTGAGAAAGGCAAATTCATGGAACTCATTGATAAAGTTGAAAAGCAAAACCAGGAGAAGCTGTTTTGGAACCTAGTGAGAGCAGCTCGGGATTTTAAGAAAAATCCATTAACTGGTCCCTATCCCAATCCCTATCTGTAATTTGCATATTGAAGCAGTGATCTGGTATCTTGCATAAAAAGATTGCTTATTTCCATCTGTAATTCACATATTGAGACAGTAATCTGATAGTTTTGAATAAAAAGATTGCATATTGAACAGGTAATCTGTTCATTTTAGGTTCATGATGTTGAACCACAATGCTTTGATTATGGGTTGTTCATCAAAATTTTGTTGAAACATAGCAAGAGCTTTGGTTATGGGTTTCCATGTGGTTAACAGGGTGGTTCAAGGTTTGTTTGGGGATGATCTATTTTAGTAAATGCAATTTTTGCATGTTCAGATGTTCTTACTCTTTACCTGGATAATGCTCCGTTTACATTACTCTGTTGTCATGTAATTGCAATTATTAACTCTAGAGAGAATGCTGTCATGAAATTGTTGAGAGTTGTGAGAAGTCAGTTGGCTGTTCAAGTTCATTCCAATGAGCTCAGGTTTATCTCACAGAATATCTAGATATGAGCTGAGGTTTGGTGCTGACAAGGTAATTCAATTGATATTTTCTCAGTCGTGGAGTTTTACCGAGTTTTTTCTTGTCCTTATTGCTGTTTGTATACCTTTCATTGAGACAGATGTTCCTAACGTTGACTTGATTAGAAGAGAAATGGAGATCACTTCTCCATAGGGACTCCTTCAGTTAAACGTATGCATTGATATGATGTCCATGAAAGAAAGGTGCCAGCTTGTGAGGTACTGGATTTATAAGTTAATATTTCTTGCTTATATTTTAATGACATTGGAGGTATTTCTTTTGTTATTGTGATGGGAACACACTGGGAATCAAAGTCTAGGGGATGGCGTGCATAATATGTTATATGATGAACTAGTTTCAGTGTCTAACTACAATCTGTGTTGTTTCTTTTTCTGGTGTGTATGTTTGCCTCAAAACTTCATTCAGTGGCTTTGTAATTACTCTTTTACATGTTTTGCATATGTTTCTTAACTTAATAATGAAGCCCTTCAACTTTTTTCTCCCTGAGTATTATTGATTCTCTAATTTTTTTTTCAATGAAGGTTTGCTATCTTATTGTCCATGCTTCAATTACTTTATGTTTAGGCGGCTTGGCTAGATAACTCTGGAGACTGATATCTCTATCTGACATTATTGAATAATCAAGCCCCACCTATGACTACTACATATGTATTTGTATAGTTTTTTGGTGTCAAGTTAACATCATGCTGCCTGCCAACTTCAATTGCATTTTTCAAGGCAACCTTAGTTCACAATATAGAACATACAATGGTTGAATGTACTCTTGCATGGTAGAAAAGACTTGCTATATATCTGCATGCTTCTCTTTCTTTTGTTGATGCACATTTACCCCCTTAGTTTGCTTTGATTTCTCTTCCCTCAAAGGTGAACAACTTTCTTTGGCTTGTGATGGACAAAGGAATTCATTGTATCCTTTTGTTGCAGCGTCTTCGAATTATCCAGCATTTAAGTTTTGTATGGTTTTATTCATCCTTTCCATCATCATCAATTCCACTTTTATTCTCAAAGTTGCCACAATCTAGCAGCTTAATATCATTTTCCTTTTTTATCATTTTCCATACATGTCACTGAAAAGTTCTTCTTAAACTGATTTGGACATTTGAGATGTGATTTAGCATTCTTATTGTTTCCAACCTGGCTTCATTTTGCTTGAATTATCCTACTTTTTCGGACTACCTACAGACATTCATTTTACAAAATCAGTTTTGTAAGAATTTAATTTCCCTATATTATTGCTAGACACGTGCATTCTACAAAATAAATTTTGTACCAGGGTGGTAACTTTCTTTATGCCATATCATTTGTCCTGTTTAGATAAAGGAAAGGATGGATAGCATAAAGCCTTTGTTGACTTGGATTTGGTTGCTAGGACCCTTCTTTTCCTAGTTAATTCCCGTTAGTCATACAGATTTGATTTCATTCTGTTAATATCGTAGTCAGTTTGTTCTGGTTGCATGCAGTCTTGGTTGTTTCCATCTAGCCCTCATAGAATATTCAACATTTACTGATTTTTTTTTATTTGAAACCTAGTTCCTTGGGTGAATCTGTGGTATCTTGAATTTGAAAGTGGGTTTTAACTGACTATATATATATACGAGGTTTTACCAGTCAGGCAACTTCTTTTCAAACAAGCATACGATTCAATTGACTCTTGTGTTGCCAGCTGCCCGAATCACAGGTCTGGTTTTGTAGGAAGAGAAATGACCAGTTTTTAGCAGTTCACACTTCACAGGAGCATTCATTAAATTTTGTGGAAATCATCCTGGAAAATGTTGCAGTCACCAGTTGGATCTGGAGGCATCATTAACTTGCTTTCCTCCCACGGTAACGGTATGACGGGGTATGACGGAAAATCTTTAGCCAAGTTCGACTTTATATCTTGATTGCTTTACCTGATTTAATTAAAAATTTTCCCTCTTGTTACCATATTTGGTGGAAGCTCCAATGCTCCATGTTCCATAGATTTGTCCACTCACGAAGAGCGGATATTGGTGTTCAGATTTCTAAGATCCGAAGTACTTAGAGGAGGGTTCTTTTTTAATTATATATATATATATATAAATGGTCTGGATGTAGTCACATGCATCTCACATGAATTCTTTGTGATGACCATTCTTCGTTTGATTCACTGTTATTCGACAAGAACAGATGAACAATCCTCTCTGAAAATGCTCCCTTATTTGGGCCACAGCTTTTTGATCGATTTTACATATTCTGATGTGCGCCCTATTTGGCTTTTGATGTATATTTTAACGGCGAACGCGGATAGGACGGGAATTGAATTTCCCAGAACTTATTGTTTGCTTTATTTATTTGTCTTAATGCTACATGCTAT